CGACTTGATCATGGCGGATGATGGTTCTGATGTGTTCTTGGATTCAGTTTGCCATTGTTTTATTGAATATTTTTGCATCAATGTTCATGAGTGAGATTGGTCTGTAATTCTCTTTCTTAGTAATGTCTTTATGTTGTTTCAGTATCAGGCTAGTGGTAGTCTCATAAAAAGATTTTGGCAATGTTCTTTCTGTTTCTATTGTGTGAAACAATTTGAGGAGTATTGGTATTAGTTATTCTTTGAAAATCTTGTAGCGTACTGTGCTGAAATCATCTGGTCCTGGGTTTTTTGTATTTGTTTTTTGGTTGGGAGACTTTTGATGACTGTTTCTATTTCCTTAGCAGTTCTAGGTCTATTTAACTTGCTTTTCTGGTCTTGATTTAATTTTGGTAAGTTATATTTATCCAGAATTTTTTTCATTTCCTTTAAGTTTTCCAATTTTGTGTAGTACAGATTTTTGAAATATGACCTGATGATTCTCTGGATTTTCTCCATGTCTGTTGTTATGTCCCCCTTTTTGTTTCTGATTTTGTTAATTTGGATATTCTCTTTCTGCCTTTTGGTTAGTTTGGATAAAGGTTTGTCTATTTTGTTGATTTTCTTGAAGAACCAACTTTTGGTTTTGTTGATTCTTTGTATTGTTTTCTTTGTTTCTATTTTTTTGATTTCAGCTCTCAGTTTAATCATTTCCTGCCTAAGTCTTCCTGGATGAATTTACTTCTTTTTGTTGTAGAGTTTTCAGATGTTAAGTTAGTAGTGTGGGATTTTTCCAGCCTCTTTATGTAGGCATTTAGTGCTATGAACTATCCTCTTAACAGTGCTTCCATTGGGTTCCATAAATTTGGGCATGTTATGTGGTCATTTTCATGAATTTTAAGAAGTCTTTAATTTCTTTCTTATTTCTTCCCTGACCCATTGGTGATTTGGGTGAGCATTGTTTAATTTTCGTGGGTTTGTGGGCTTTCTGGAATTTGTGTTGCTGTTGAATTCTAATTTTAAGCCATGGAGATCTGATAAGATACATGGGTTATTCCAATTTTTTTGAATCTGTTGAGGTTTGCTTTCTTACCTGGTATGTGGTCAATTTTTGAGAAGGTTTCATGAGGTATGGAGAAGAAGGTATATTCTCTTCTGTTTGGATGGAATTCTATAGATGTCTGTTAAGTTCATTTGAGTTATAACATCTGTCAGAGCCACTTACAGGTATAAATTTGTTCTAGAAGGTGACCTTTGACTCTTGTCAGTACTTTGACCCTGCTTTCTGTCAGGGGTGATGTGGACAGCCTTCTGGGATGGATGGCTGGGAACAAGCCTGCTTTCGTCTCAAGGTTGAGTGGCCTCACAGCAAAACCTGTCTTCAGTCAGGACTAGAAGGGGTTAATCTTAACAATCCCTGACTGGAATCTTCTAGGGTGGTTGTACCACTGTAGAGAATTAGACCCTCAGGAAATACTGGACTTTATTGTGCTAGCCAATGGGAGGCTCCCTTAAGGGACTGAAAAAGATGAGGGGTCTAGTCTCATTTGGGGTCTTTCCTAGTTAGGATTCCACTGCTGTGATAAACACCATGACTGATACCAACTTGGGGAGGCTGGGGTTTGTTTTCTATTATACTTCACCATTCATCAATGAGGGGAGCCGAGGTTCAAACTTGGAGGCAGGAACTGACGCAGACCATGGATGAAGGCTGCTTACTGGCTTTGTCTCACTTTCTACCTTCCTTGTACAACAGAACCACCTGTCCCAGGATCACATCACCCACCATAACGAGACTAGGCTCCCCTGCATGAGTTAACAATTAAGAACACACCCTGTAATCATATCTGCAGGCCAATCTGGTGAAGGCAACTCTTTGAGGTTCTGTCTTCCCAGGTGTGTCTACTTAATAACTGAGGTTATTACCGCAAGGTTTTATTCATTTTTGAGAAAAGGTTTCTTGTAGCTCAAACTGGCCTCAAATTAAATATTTAACTGAGGATGACCTTTAACTTCTGATCTTCCTGTCTCTGCCTCTCAAATGTTGGAGTTACAGGCATGTGCCACCAAGCCTGGCTTAGAAATTTTCATTCATCTTCCCAGATACGTATTATTCCATAATGTAGCAAATGTAGAAAATAGCACATTTAACTGTCCCTACTTTAAATCTTTTCTTTTATTTACTTATCTATTTATTTTTGCAGTGGTGGGATCATATGTGCAGGACCTTGGAAAGAACTCAAGGATAGGTATGTGCCACCAGCCTAGTTTTGTGTGTGTGTGTAGGTACATGTGTGGTCATGTGAGTGTACATGCATTCAACTAGTGTGCGATGTCTTTACCTCCTTCTTCCTTTTCTTCCCTCAATCAATCCTTGATTTTGTTTTTTTGTCATTGTTTTGAGACAGGGTCTCTCTGTAGTCCTGAAACTCCATATAAACACTGGCCTTGAACTCATAGAGATCCTCTTGCTTCTGCCTCCTGAGTGTTGGGATTAAAGGCATGTGCTACCATATTCAACTAATCGTTGTTTTGTTTTGTGGATCCAGGATCTTACTATACAGTCCAGGCTGGCCTGGAACTTGGTATGTAACTTGGGCTGGCTTTGAATTTATGATCCTTCTGTCTGTCTCCCAGCTGGTGAGATTACAGGCATAGGGCATCACACTGGGTTCTAGGTCAACTTGTTTATTACTTACAACCATGTCTCATATAACCCAGGCTAGCCTCCAACTGGGAAATGTTGAGCCAAGGCTGGCCTGAGAGTTCTGATCCTCCTCCTCCAACTAAGAAGGATCAGAAGTTCAAGGTCTAAGCAGTATAAGGATCATATCTAAGTGCTGGGATAACAGCTATGTGTTGTCATGCCCAGCTTGGTACTGATTTCTTTTATCGTCATTTTATTATGTGTTTATTTATGTGTGAATATTCGTGGCATGGAGCATATGTGAAAGGTAGAGAACAACCTGAGGGAGTCTGTTCTCACGCCCCACATGGAGGTCTAGGGGACTGAACTCATCAGGACTGGTAGCAAGAGCCTTCCCCCACTGAGCCCTCTTGCTGGCCTTCAGGTAGACCTTCAAAGTTTCTGTATAAAGCTAGGTGTGGTAGCACATGCATGCAATTCTACCACTCAAGAGAGCGTGCTTCTATTTAGTGTGGGCTGAATTTGTAGCTTTTTTATTTTATTTTATCTATCTACTTATTTATTTTTGCTTTTTCAAGACAGGGTTTCTCAGTAGTGATAGAGGCAGTTAGAACTCACTCTGTAGACTAAGCTCTGGCCTTGAACTCACAGAGACCTGCCTGCCTCTGCCTCTGCCTCCCAAGTCCTGGGTTTAAGGCTTGTGCCATCACTGTCCAGTTATACAGTTCATTTTTAAAACACTTTCTTATTTAGAAGCAACTTCAGACTTTCCAAATGTTGGAAAGGGGGGCGAGGGAGAAGCCTCGGTCAGTAAAATGCCTGCTGTGTAAACATGAAGACTGGAGTTCAGATTCCTTCCACCATGGAAAAGCTGGGGACAGTGGGGACAGGCGGATCCCTGAAGCTCCTTGCCGGCAGCCTAGCCAGGCTGTGAGCTCCAGGTTCAGTGAGAGTTCTTGTCTCAAAATGTAAGCTGGGGAGAGAAGAGGAAGACACCCCAAAGATCCCCTCACTTTCACACACGCGCACGCAGCATTTGCACTCACATGACCACACGTGCACACACACCTACACACAAGCTAGGCTGCTGCCACATGTCTGAACTCAAAATACTGAGGAAATGGATGCAAGAAAATCAAGACCAGCCTCATTCCATAGTGAGTTCAAGGCCAGCCTTGACAATATGAAATCCCAAAATCCAAAAGAAAGAAAGAAAGAACTGAAAGGCAGAATAGAGAAGCCCTACATGTGCAACAGTTGTTTACACTTTCCTAAACAGTTACATTTCTAACTGCTTACTTTGTATTCACGGAAACATTCAAACATACTTTATAGACATGGTTCTTCGTGACAGGAATATTGTCTGCAGAACAGTTTATCACCCCAATGGGCACAAAGGTCACTATTAACCTGTAGGTTTTGCTCTGCTGGGGCTCAAACCCAGGGCTGTGGGCATGCAAGACAAGCATTCTGCTGTTGAATTCCACCTCCGGCTCTTGTTTTGAGACAGGCTCTTAGGCTGCCATTGAATTTGTGATCCTCCTGCGTGGGCTCCACAGAGCTGGGATTATAGGCATGCACACCTGGCTAGCGCTTTCCTGTTGCTGTGAGAGTCCAAGGGATCATCAGGAAAGACATGAAAAGGTCTTTCTTCCTAGACCTCCTCTCCCAAATCACAGAGATTCACCTGCCACTGCCTCTCGAGTACTGGAATTAAAGTCATGAGCCACCCCCACCAGGCTCTTTCTGTTTTATGTGAAGACAGAAAAAATCTCACAAATTCTAGACTTGTTGAGCTTGCTATTTAGCCAAGGATAACGTCCAATGAATCTCCCTCCCTCCACTTCCCAAGAACTAGGACTAGAGCGCACACCATCTCATTTGGCAAAATCTCTCTCTCTTTTCAATTTACAGATGGTAACTCCAGCTTTAGTTTATTTTTTTGGAGACCGAGTCTGACTATGTAGACCTGGCACTCACAGAGAGCTACCTGCCACTGCCTCCTGAATGCTGCGAGTAAAGGGATGCATGCACCCAGGCCTTCTTTTTTGATTTTTTTTTGAGATTTAACCTAATTTTGTAGCTAAGGGTGCCTTAGAACTAAAGATTACCCTGGGGCCTGTGAATTAGCTCAGTGGGCATGGTAGTTTGAAAGAGAAATGTCTTCCATAAATTCATGAATGTAAGTGCTTGGCCCCCAGTTGGTGGTGCAGTTTGGGGAGATTATGGAACTTGTAGCACAGGAGCCTTGTTAGGGGAAGGATGTCACCGTGGGTGGGCTTTGAGAACTTAAAGCCTTGCCCCACTTACAGATGACTCTCTCTCTCTGCCTCCTGTGTGTGATGGAGATGTGATATCTCAGACAACAGGCCCTGTCTCAAAACAACCAGTGCCATTTTATTTCCAACATAGAAAACATATATTGCAATGATTGAGGAAGAAGCAGGGGTTAGCACCAGTAGAATTGCTCAAGGTGGCCTTCTTTTCTCCCTAGCACGGGGCCCTCTGCCTTGGCATCTGAGAGACGCCTAGTCCCGTGCTGCAGAGAGGTGAGACATCCAGGTGACCCACAGTGCTAACCATTCTGGGATCACCTTGGCAGCCACCAACTGAATTCTACTCAGCAGTAATAAGATTCTCCAGGGCTTGGCTCGCTGGGCTCTGCCAACCATCTAGCATCCAGAGAGGACAATTCAGTGTTCTCAGCAGCAGCATCCTGTCTCGTTCTCATAGGTCTGGCCACCGGGATGCTCCTGGAGAGGAGGTCAGATCTTCTACCTGCTTCTTCAACTAACTTTGTGCTGCTTCCTCTTTGCCCTTCACCTTGTTGGTTTTTTTTTTTTTATAGCCCGGCTTCTGTGGGTAGCCCAGGATTCCTAGGACAGCAAGTTCTGCAGTTGTAGATCAAGCTGACGTCACAGAGATCTGCCTGCCTCTGCCTCCCGAATGCTGGGACTAAAGGTCCATAGCACCCCAGGCTGACCTTGTGCTTCCTTACACTCTTTTGACTTAAGTGTGTGCAGATGCTCTCACACACTATATGCTTACACTGTGTACGTGTGCATCGGTGTCCGTAGACTCACACACTTGCAAACTCAAGGTATGAGTGTGTAGCCCAGGTGTTCAGTGTCAAATGTCAATTCACGGGTGCTGGACACCTTGTGTTTTAATACAGGCTTTCTCAAGGCCAGTGAGGTCGAGATGCATCTGCCTCAAAAGGTGGCACACACCTACAATCCTGGCATCCAGGAGTCAGAAGCGGTCAGATCTCTGTGAGTTCAAGGCCAGCCTGGTCTATAGAGGAAGGGCCAAACAGAAAAACCTTGTCTCCAAAAGAAGAAAAACCACAACAACAAAACAAAAACGGAGATTCACCTGTCTCCATCTCCAGGTGCTTGCGTGGCGAGCTTCAGCAAGCCCGACCGCCCTTTTCCTTGGATTCTGCATAATGAAGTCATATCAAACAAGGTAAACAGGCATTGTACAGACAGACAGTCACTGTCAGTCTTCTTGTGCTTCTGAATCTCACCCAGGGGGTCGATTTTACACTCTTGCTTGGTGCCAATCATTTCTCATTATGGACAGCAGGGCCATGAAGAGTCAGCAATGTAGTCTATGAAGTTCCTTCAGAAACATCCCCTGGGCAGAACATCTATGAAAGCTATTTTGTCCTTTTATTAGGATACTGTAGAAATGGAATGAAGTATAGGAGGATAAAGTCACGTCAGATGGGTACAGAGCAATGGAAGCCTCCCCCACACCACCTCAGAGCACACCCAGTCACCCCACTTTGAGGCAGGAGTTGAAGCAGGGACCTCTGCAACCAGGCGCACTAACATGGAACTGGTACAGAAGTGCCAGAAGGGGGCAGCACAACATCAGGGTTTCTGAGGGGTGTCAGGGCCAGCAGCCTTCCAGTCTTTCTTATTGGCACAGGTGGGGGTCTCTCCATGCTCCCCAAACCTTCCTGTCAGTGCCTCCCACAGGGCCAGCAGGGAGTACTTACCGAAGGGCTCCTCAGTGCTGTGCACAAGGATGAACTCAATTGGCTCAAGCCAATTCCAGATGTGAGTCACAGGAAATAGCCCTGCACATCTGGATGCCTGATTTTCTTCTCTCTGTCAGAAAAATCTTTTGATTCGCGAGGAATATGTGGCTGGAATAGGCTGCTATGTCACTGTTTTCTCAGATTGGGGCATTAAAATTTGGGAGTAGGTGCCGTTTGTTTTTAAAATAGAGTGTCATTCCTCCTAGATTGGCCTCAAACTTTCTGTGTTGGAAAATGACCTTGACTCCCTGATCCAGAGTCAAAACAAGAGGAGAGAAAGAGAAAGTGTTCTTCATTAGAAGGAACCAATAGATAGGCCACTGTAGGGTTTAAGAGTCATATGCTTTCGCAAAGAAAAAAGACGACCATGAGTACAAGGTACAGACAGTCGGCAGTGAAGGGGAGCAGAAAGGACAGAGTTGAAGAACTCTACAAAAGGCAGGTATGTGTTTGTGCATGATATATCCATGACTATAAGTGTGTGTGTGCGTGGTTGTGTGTGTGTGTGTGTGTGTGTGTGTGTGCGCGCGTCTGTCTGTCTGTGTGTCCTCATCCTTTGAGCACACATCTAGACCAGGAATATTCATCAAATGCTTTTATTCCTTAAATCTTTTTGCTTGGTTTTTGAGACAGGGTTTCTCTGTGTTTACCTGGCTGTCCTGGAACTGGCTCTCTAGACCAGGCTGTCCTTGAACTCAGAGATCTGCCTGCGTCTGTCTCCCCATCCCGAGGCAAAGGGGTGCTCCACCACTACCGGACTTCCACCTTAAATTTTAAGACAGCAAGCTCCCACACCTGCTCCCTTCCCCACCAGGCGAGGATGACACAGGGATGCTGGCACGTCCTGCTGTCACATAGTCCCGTCCACCCATCTCGCCTGCCCTGGTCTCCAGATCTGATAGTTCAGAATATTTAGAATCTCCATATTCTTTTGGAGACAGGTTTTTACTCAGCCTGGAACTCACTCATGCCTACCCTGTCCTGAAGGTTTTCCTACTTAACAGGGCAGAGTGGCTCAAAGCAGGAAGGAATTCCTGCAGTGGGCAGTTAGAGACGAGAAGATGAGGATCCTGCTCAAGGTCATCTTTGGCTACAGAGTGGCCTGCCTGGGCTCTATGAGGCCTTGACTAAACCACAATGCTGACAGTGCTTCAGTGCAGCTAAGGAGGAGCTGAGGCAGCAGCATCTTCAGGACTATAAAGCCAGCCTGGACTACACACTGTGTTTCAGTCCAGACCGAGTTACAGGGCAAGACTCTGTGTGAACTCGAAAACTATCAAAGAGAAACAGTTCGTAGCCTATGGTTCCTACTAACCAAAACAGACACAACCAAATGTCAGAAAATAAGATGGAAGTGTGCACCTAACACTTAATGCACCTGTCCGGGAATGAGAGCCAATTCTCATCTATGGTTGCAGATAGAATGTGTTCCCTTAGCATACTTCTGTGGGTCTGTAGTTGTTAGGGTGGCTCACTCAAGGTGTTATGTCTGCTTGTTTGTTTGTGTGTTTGTTTGTATTTGCCGTGTCTATTACAATCAATTGGAATTTTTATATTATATTTGCATTATTGCGGCTGCTTATGGCCATCCTCAGTGCTTGATGATTCCCTGGGGGTTCAACATATGACAGAGCAGCTGGCCTGCCTGAGAGTTGTTCATGTGCAAGAGAAACACACAACCACAGAGACGGAGACAGGCAGACACACAAAAGAGAGAGAGCGACTCACCAGCGGCTGTGTGTTCGAGTGGGTAGAGGGCAGGGGAACAAGTTCACAGTGTCAGGCCAGATCAGCCTCCCAGGCTGGCCAGAGTCTCCTGAGAAGTTCTCTCAGTTTGAGTAGTTCAGCCTGGTCCAGTGGCTGAGGCCAGGAAAGGATCCTGTGTCATCTACTTTCCCAGAGTTGTTGATGATGGGATGGAAAGCATGGGGTTCTGGGGTGCTCTTCCCACCCCAGAGTGGAGTATACTCCTTTCTTCTCAGATTGGGTTGCTCAGAGACAGAGCAAATTAAGAGGCAGAAATGTGTTCTCCCAGTGGGGGAACAATAAGGGACACATTCTTGAACACAGAAGATGTCCCAGGACAGCTGGAGAGATGGACACCACACCAGTCGCACAGTCTTCTCTGGGTCTTATGACCCAGATAGGTTGACATGGTCTAGGCAGAAAGAACACAAGATGAGATTTTTACCAATGTTACTGTGGTATGCACGAGGCAGCTTCCTAGAAGCCCCCCCCCCCAAAAAAAAAAAGAAGTGGAAAAGCTTGCTTACCTTTGTAAGATGCATTCGTGGGGCTGTCAAAAACAGAAGCCATCTAAGAGAAGTTCACTGCTGAGTGCAGACTCAGGCAGGCTGGAGGCAGGGAGCACAGCAGGTTGCTGACACCTCACTGGGTTTTGGGTTTCACTCCTTAGCATTTCACCTACCAGTCCCTCAGGGTGTGGCACATGGTGGTGAGTGCAGGAGCCAGTTGTCACTGGTGAGAATGGTGGCCTTGAGGGAGCAAGCAGGCCGAGGCAGGAGGTGAGTAGCTGGAAGGCAGAATTGGTGGAGAGGGGGGACTCTGTGCCCTGGAGTCCCTCACTCCCCAGCTCAGATTTTCCCAAGCTTTGGGTCTGAGGACGCAAGTAATGGAACTTGCTGGGATGACTTGTGGGGATTCTTGCTAAAGGTTCTTTGCAGGAGCCTGCCCTCTAGAGGAGTCAGTCCTACAGGGCTGCTTGCAGGACACATTCTCAACCTGACAACCCAACTTAGGGCAGGCTGACTAGGAATACTCTCCTTGGGGGAGAGAAGTCTGTGTTCTCTGCCAAGAAACAGGGGGCAAAGGACAACCACTACCCAGAACGCCACTTCTGATGTTTCTGCAGGCAGGCAGGGGGAGAGGGCAAGGCGCTATTGTTCCACGAGACAGCCTAGGGCACCTTTGCACCTCAGCCCTCCACACTGAGCTAGACCCTGTGGGAAGCCTACCCTTCCTGCCTGGGATTTTACCTGGAGAGATAGATGTTCTCTTCGGTGGACAGCTCTTCCTCTGCAGGAGGGGCCTGTGGCCAGACGGTGTCCTGGGCATCTGGTCTGGGTCACCAGAGGGGCTGTCCGAATCTCCTCCAGACCGATCCCCAACCCGTGGCTCAGAAGCCACGGAGCTGGGGCTTGACCTCTTCAGGGCTTCAAAGAGAAAGGCACAGGAAGGAGACTCTTAGTGACTTCAAAACGCACAAGACTTAGTGCACTGCCCTGCAGCGCCCAAGTACCAGACTGGTCCTCCAAGGAATCTTTGCCTCCTTTGGCCTTGCCCCCACCTCTCCCTGCTTGGCTCAGCATCTCTGCTGTCCCCCTGCTGCTCAACAAGCCCGAGGTCACACTTGAGGGGACACCTGATCTTTCTGAAGTGACAGGTTGTTACGCTCACAGTGTGCCACGAGTGGACACAGGCATCATTTATCACAAAGGACAGGAGGAAAAGTACAAATCAGATGAAGTAAGAAGGGTGCTCACCTGGTTCTGTGGGTGTCTCCAGGATCCCCTGTCTGTGGAGCCTGGTTCTCACGGGAGGCATGGTTCTCATGGGAGGCATGGTTTCTCTCTGCAGAAGGCAGGCAGCAGCACAGGTGTCTGAGGCAGTTGATAATGGTTTTCTTCATCCTTTTCCAGCGGTGGCGCCTCTGGTTTTGGGAGGAAGCTGGCTCGGCATTCTGGGGCTGACCATGGGTGATGGCCTCTTCCTGTCTGGTGATCACTTCTTGTGCGATGGTCTCTTCCTGCAGTGTGTCCCCAAGGGAGGAGCCTTTGGGGGCTACACGCAGAGCCGTCTCCAGCGAGCTCCAGAGTTTCTCTGGAGAACTGCAAGAGGCCATGTTGTCGCCTGGGTCATCTGCAGCCTCATTCTGGTTTGCCCCAAGAAGGGGGTACAGAGAGCAGGATGGCTGGGCACTCGCTGTCAGGCTGCCACACAACCCGATCTTCAACTGGGAGAAATTCTCGCTGGTGTCCAGGCTGCTGCTTGTGAGGGAATCAGCCACAGAACAGCGCAGGTGGGGTAGGTGGGCAAGGTGGATCCTCCTAGGCTGGCAGCACAGGGTGGCAGGCACACTATGCTTTCTGCCACCCTGCCTGGAATTCTTCTCATCTTCTTTCTCTTGGGACTCAGATGACACGATGAAGGTTGGGGGAGTAGGTTCAGTAGCTCTCCTGAGGGTCCCAGAAAAGGTGTGAAGATCTGCCAGGTTGAGGATAAGGCCTGGCTGCGTGGATTTCACGGGTTTCACCTGGTGATGGCAGCAGTCTCCCCTGGGTGACCGGTGTTGCAGACTCAGGTAAGTGGCCATCACCTGGTTATATTTTTGGTCTCTTAGACAATCATTCCTTCAGGTTTGTACCCCATGCCTGTCATGGTCCCGGCAATGCTAGGGCTCAGGGTGCCTGGGAGGCTCCGTGTGGGATTACAGGATGCCTGTTCCTGGCTGTCCCTGATCATGGGGCGCCCCAGGATTTGGCTGATGGTGGGCCTCCTGTCAGGGTTGATCATCAGGAGTTCAACAATGACACTGAAAATGTCAATTGGAACATGATGAGGAATGCTGAAATTTGCAGCCAGAGTTTGCTGCCTCAAGCCTGCAGAAGAGCTAGCTTGGAACGGAACATGCCTGGCCACCATGAAGTAGAGGAGCACCCCTAAGTTCCAAACATCGCTGGCATAACCATCATATGGCTCCACTCCAAAGACTTCTGGGGTCGCAGTAGGCCAGAGTGCCGCAGAAATTCTTTAGTTTCTCCCTAGGGACAACTTTAACTGCCAGGCCAAAATCACAGAGCTTGGCATTACCGGTGGAGTCAATCAAGATGTTGTTTGCCTTAATGTCTCTGTGCACGATAGAGTTGTCGTGGCAGTACTTCACTGCCTGTAGTACCTGAGTAAAGAGCCTTTGAGCCTTGCACTCCTGTAAGCCTCCCGGTTTGCGGATCTGATGCAATAGGTCCCCTTTGGAGGCGTACTCCATTATGAGGTACGTTATCTCTTGTGTCTGGACCTCCTGAAAGAACTTGATGATATGTGGATGAACGAGGGATTTTATAATATCAACCTCATTGTTGTTACGTGCTGAGTACTCCTTCATATTTGCAAGAATCTTTCCAGCCACGTAGGTTACAGTGGGCGTACAAAAAGCCAGTTTGACCGCTGCAAAGGCTCCTCGTCCCAGCGTTGCCATCATTTGATAGACATTGGTGAAGGTCTTTTCGTCACAAGAGAAGGTGTCTCTGCCCTGCTCCATGGCCGGGTTCTTGTTGAAACATGGTGGGAACTTTAAACAGTTTAAATCACACCAATGAGAATGTTTATCACTATGAATTCCTACATCCCAAAGAGAAAAAGAGTCACAGATATTTCAAGTAACCTAACTAGGTACGTAGTACTCAGGAAGGGAAGGAAGTACCTTCCAAAGCAGTGGACAGCAGAATATAACACAGATCAGGTTGGCCGGATTCACCCAGAAACTGAGAGAATAAAACAAAGGGTCGCAGAAGCTACGAGCCACTTATTGGGAAGGAGAATCATCCTCTTGCTCGAGCTGAACACTCATTGGGAGAGAAGATACTAATAAAATCACATGCAAGAGAAGTAGATGAGACAACAGAAACCCCCCAAACCCAGAGTCTTGGTGGGGAGATGGCTCAGGAGGTCAGAAGGTTTACTATTCTGGCAGAGGACCTGTGTTTGGTTCTCAGGACCCAGGTCAGGTGGATCACTGACCCCAGTTCTAGGAGATCCTACACCTCTGACCTCTGAGGGCATCCAAACACACGCGTGGACAATCGCAAGGGCACACACACACACTTGAGGTCGCCTACATGTATACTCACATGTACTACATTTAATTTTAAATAGCGATATAAGTCTTTTTGTATAATTTTATTTCTATGACCTGGAAGGACATAAGAGGGCAACAGATCCCCTAGGTGTGGCGCTTCAGGAAGTTATGATGTCGTGGGACTGCTGTGAGGCAGACCTAGGTCTTTTGGGCTAAGAGTACATGCTCCTAACTGCTGGGCTGTCTCTCCAGGCTAACCCACCCATCCCCAAAGAAATCTGATTTTGAAAACCCTGAGAGTCCTTCCATGGACTGAAAAATGTGGATGGAATTGAGAAACTTCTTGATATAAATTCAACTAAGAAGATATGATAAAGAACAAAATTGAAATATTTATAAAGAAAGAATCTGCATAGAAAAGCCCAGGACCAGGCAAACCTACTGATGAATCCTTCCAATTTCTTGAAAACAAATGTCAGTGCTCCTCAATACTCCACAAAATAGAAAGGTACTTAGCAGTTCCAAACTCATTCATGCCAAAACCAGGAAAACACAATGAAGAAAAATAGAGGCTATTTCCATGATGAATATAGATGTAAAAGTCCTTAATAATATTACTTAATACTTTTTACCAAATTCACATTAGCCGGGCCATACTTCATGGTTAAAATATGCTCACAATGATCCATGCTCTATGTATTTAGCCTGACAACACAACATTGAAACAGAATTAAGGGCAAGAGTGCCACAGCCATACAGAAGGACGGCCAGAGAGAAGGATGAAACTGTGGGGCTCTCAAGAACATGATTGGCACTGGAGAAGATCGCTTTCCATGGGAAAAGCCAGTCCTTCAAATGTGTCCCTTTTCTTCTCTCATATGTGGAACTTGGGAGCAGGAGGGGGTCCTCAACATAAGAGGGGCTCCTAGGAGTGTGGAGGAGGTAATGTGAGAAGAAAGCAAAGCAGTGTGGATTAATCACATGATCATGTGATCAGAATGCATTCAAGATGTTCCTGTGATTGCCAGGACTAAATTGTTCCTATGATACGGTACACCATAATAAGGAGAGGCCTGAAATAACATAAGAAATGGACCAAGGAACACATAACAAAAGTAAATGAAGAAGTAAACCTAAATACAGAGGTTCTGGAGAGATGAGTTAGTGTTTAGCAGTACCTCCTGCTCTTTCAGAGAACCCTGGTTCAAGGCCCAACCCACATGGCGCTCACTCGAGTTCTAACTAATTTGTCTCCCTTTTGTGACCTCCACAGGTGCGAGGCTCATGGTGCACACACAGACATGAAAACAAAATACTCATACACATAAATAATAATATTAAAGATTATACCCCGGGTGTGGGAGAATTGTCTGTATTCTGTCAGTCATGTTTTAAATAAACGCTGATTGGCCAGGCAGGAGGTGTAGGTGGGAAAACCAGACAGGAAGTGGAAATGATACAAGGAGAGCAGGAGAATTCTGGGAAGGAGGAAGCTGATTCCTCCCACTCCTGTCCAGACCACCGAAGCAGCAGGATGTGAGCTGCCCTACTGAAAAAGATACTGAGCCACATGGCTAACATAGATCAGAAAAATGGGTTAATCAAGATGTGAGAGTTAGCCAGTAAGAAGCCTGACCTAATGGGCCAATCAGCATTATAACTTATAGAGATCTCTTGTGTGATTTTTTTCTCTGGGACTAAACAGCTGGGGGGGGGGACAAAAACCCCAACAAGCAGGCCTGGCCCCTCATGTTACATACCCCTAAAAGCATAACTTAAAAATAAAAACTGCTGGGCTGTGGTGGCACATGCCCTTAATCCCAGCACTCAGAAGGCAAAGCGGGTGATCTTTTAGTTTGAGGCCAGCCTTATCAACAGAGTGAGTTCCAGGAAGGCCAGAGCTACACAGAGAACTTCTGTCTTGAATTCTCTTCCCCATACACCCGCAAAATGAACAGAGAGTGAAAAAAAAGAACATGAAAAAGTAAGCTCATATATCAAGCCAGAAAATATATAATACACCGAGAACAACAACAACAAAAATCAAAGTCAACAAAGTTGGAGGGAAACTCACTATGTTGAAGTCCAACAGCTCTTGAAAGTCCAAGCAGCCTCTTTCACCAGCACGGAGCTCCAACCACTTTCCACCTCACAAACCATTTCTGCACTGTAAGGAGAGGAGGCAGCCTCAGCCAGAGCTGTGAGGGCACAGGGCTCAGTTGTCGTGAGGTCAGAGCAAGAAAAGGACCACTGATGGCTTGACACAGCTCACTGGTTTTCTTCACATTCTGTCACCAAGTACAGGAAGATTGGTCTGGTCAGTAGGGGTCTGAGGAGGCTGGTTACACTCAAATGGCTGTCCCCAGTGATGTCCAGTGCCCTGCTTCTTTCTGCTATGCCCACTTCCCAAGGTCCACAATTTTCCTCAAATGGTGTCATGAAGTGGAAACAGTGTCCAAATACTTGATTCTGTGTGGGACACTAACACCCAAACCTTAACAATAACCCTCCCCACTTTAATAATAAAACAAGGAATCATAAGAACAAAAATGGACTCCAGAGCATGGGCCCTCCCTGGTTATGAGCTCTTGTGAGACGCATCCCTTGACCAGCAAGCAGAAGCGACCACAAAATCGAGAATCCTTCCCAAAGCAACTCGGTTGAAGGGGGAATGGGGGACGAGAGAGGGATGAGAGAGAGAGAGAGAGAGAGAGAGAGAGAGAGAGAGAGAGAGAGAAACCGAAAGGCAGTCGCTTTTCTAGGGTGGAGAGGCTCGGATGCTGATTGGTTAATACCATTTTGCTGGAGCCCAGGGCCTCGGGACAGGCCAGGGAACCAAGGCTCTATTATGCAAAATACAAGTCCCAGGCACTCTGGCCTGCATGGTAGCATCAAAGTATCTGTTTACCTCCAAGTTGTAGGATGCCAGCACCATTTAACAATGGTGATGTTCTGATGGCTCCTTACAAGCTCTGAAACTCTCTTCTTAGTAAGTGGATAGTGTTTTGCCTTTCACTTGGTCCATAGCCTTCTGTGACAACTTTGTAATAACTCATGTCTACACCCAAAGTGTTCTGAACGTGGGGTGATGGCTGTGGGGCCTCGGGACACAGACGGTAGTAAAATACCAATAGATTCAGGTGCGGCCCCTTAGCTGACAGGAAAACTAAAGTATCAGGTGATACATGGCAATTATTAAAGCTAGGAAAGTTGAGGCAGGAGAACCAGCAGTTCAGGTCATCTTTGGCTACACAGTGGTCTTGAGGCCAGTCTGTGCTACAGGAGACCCTCTCTCACCAAACCAAAAGCAAAAGCAAACAGAAGGGCAAGGACTGCTTTTGTCTTATACATGATTGAGGGTCCCAATGCTTCAAAAGTAACCTTTGCTGTGAGACACGGGGCATGGACACGAGTGTGCCCATGAATGTGACATCAACAACTGAGGCGGGAGGGCTGCGATCAGCCTTTTGTGTTCTTGAAGCTACACTGCCGTCCCCTCCCATAAGTAGTCAACAGATTTACACTTTAAATGGACCTCACAAGACCCGCCCAGAACCAGCTATGGGGCATAAGACAAAGAAACCGGATGAAAGTTTACAAGAGTTCAAACAGGAAGTTTTCTGTGAATACAACATTCACACCCCTGAAGGCACCACATGTACACACATTACACACTTAGTTACTGACTAATTGTTCTATCAAAATAAATCATCACACATAGAAAGGGAGATGTGAGTGCTGTCCAGCAATGGGCACTAAAGCCCTACTTGCCAGTTCTCTATCGAACATTAGATTTTTTAAAAGCCACAACGGATAAGCCCTCCCTCATCACCAACATCTGGGAAAACCAGAAAGGTGACTGAAGGATTTTGCTGTTTGACAGTTGTTATGAGTCTGTAAGGACAAATAAGTCCAGGAGTGTTAGGAAACAATATTAAATGAAATGATATGAGTTTATAAAAATAAGCCCAGAAATGTTAGACGCAATATTAGGTGTCACACACAAAATGAAACTAAAAAGCATGAAGTAATGTGTGCAGTGGTGATAAGAGTTTGAGCTGGTGAACAAGTGTGACGTAACTATATGATAAGCAGACATGTGTGTTAATCTAAAAAGAAAAAAAAGGAATATAGCCACAGACAGTATAAAAACTTGAGGCTCACGACCAGGAGACATTCTCAAAATGACTTGCTAGACATGTTGTCAGAGCGGTCATAGAGAATCCAACGAACCAGCAACTTCACAGCTGAGACCATCCAAGAGCCAGAGAACTAGCTCTTGCCTGCGGATCAAGACTTGCTGATCCAGAGGCCTATGTCGAGAGCCACGGACCATTATCAGGTCGTATACACAAATGCCTCAGTAAGATAGGATAGAAGACCTTGCCTAGGACACATAGGAACCTTTGCTGAATGTGTGATGTGATTGAAGGTGTGATGTGATTGATTGACTAGGATTGTTATGGGTTTGATGTTTACTTATATTTGATATAAGAATAATTAGGGATTTAAATGATTGTTATAGTTTTGATGTTTGCCCATACCTGCTAACAACTGGAGATTTGACTATTGGCATAATAAACTTGTTCCTAGAACAAACACTGTGGTCATCCTGAGTATTTACTTGCAGACCTCTAAGTAAGGGCAGAATGCCCGCTCAGGAATAAGGCTCGCGACAACAGTGAAGGATCTGCTACCCACTGCATCTCCCCAAACAAATAAAAAGATTAAGTTTGGAGGTGATGGCACATGCCTTTCATCCCATTGAGGTAGGCAGCTCTCTGTGAGATCGAGGCCAGCCTGGTCTACAAACCAAGTTCCCTAACAGTCAGAGTCACACAGAGAGCATCCTTGTCTAGAAAAATAAAGAAAAGATGAGATGAAAGAGTTTTACTCTAGCCCAGGCTTGTGATAATCAGGTAAAAACAGTCCTTTGTCAACAAAATGTCCCCGTTTTTCCAAAGGCACAGGTATTTGGAGTGGGTCTCTGCAGTGCTGAGCAGAACATCCCAGCACTAGGTAGTTTTGTTTCAGAACATCTTCCTTGAGGTCTTTGGCCAGCAGAACTGATCCTTTGCTTCCAAATCATTATTGCCCCCACTCCTGTGCTTGATAACACACGAGCTTTAGTACTGCAATCATCCTGCCCCCAGACAGAAAATGAAAATGTCCCACGAAAGATCAGTTTCAGGCACACAGAAGGACAGAAGATGGTGGAGGGACCTGGTGTGCTATGTCCCACCAAGGAAAGTTCCTCTCTTCCTCAAAGAACAGGTTTTTTTTAGACTTTCACTTTTTCTGTTCTTGACTCCTTTTCAGCTGCCCTGTTCCATAATTAGCATCGCAAAATGGGATCTAACTATTACCTCTGGCCCTCTCCAGCCCTGACTTTTGAACTGCCAGGAAGATCCTAAGATGACCACTTAGGAGGAGGCTTTCTGCTAGAGCACAGGCAGACATACATCGGTGCCCTTCCTTAGGACACCATCCAGTGTGCCTGTCAGTCCTCTGGATAGGAGTCCACATGACTTGGCCTGGACTCGGAAAGTAACTGGCTGAGTGAAAAAGTGAGAAGACCAAGGGACTTGGAAGGGGTGGGCAGGAGGCAGTGAGATCAGGGGAATGTGGTCAAAGCTTTTCATATACGTGTATGTAAATGTCACTGTGAGAATACTCATGTTGTAGAGTCAATGGAAACAAATGTTTTAAAATGGTGATCGAAGGAATAAACCCAGATAAGATAGTAAAACTAAACATTAAAATAGAGTAAACGTCTAATTAATGCAGATAATAAAAATTGCCCCAAATTATACCCCAGACCAAGGGAGAAAGAAAGGAAGAAAGGGTTACTTTAAATCCTGGAAACCCAAACCTCTAAACCCCAAATCTGTGACTTTAGAAGAAACTCACTGTGTTCAGATTCAACAGTTCATGAATATCCAAGTGCAAGCAACTCACTACTCTCTAAATCACCAAGTTTCATCTGAAGATCAGTCTCTGCACTGTAAGGAAAGGGGCAGCCGTGAGGCATCAGGGGTCTGTCGGGGGTGAGTTCAGAGCAAGAAATGGATCAATGATGGCTTGGTTTAGATCACGTTTTTCTTCACAATCCATAACAACAGGAAGTCTGCTCTGGTCAGCTGGTGAGCATGGGCCAGTGGAGGCTGCTTACACCCATTTAGCATTCTCTATATCTCCCATTGTTGTTAATTGTGTTCTCTCTTTTTATTTATTTTTTGTTCTTTTGGGGCCTGCCACCCAGCTCCCAAATAAATTACACACAATAGCTTATCCTTACTTACAATGCCTATCCTTAGCTTGGCTTGTTCCCTGCCAGCTGTTCTTATCTTTGAATTACCTGTCTACCTTTGCCTCTGGGCTTTTTTTTTTTCCTCTGTGTGTCTTGCTTTGATTCCTACTCAGTGGTGGGTAACGGCATAGCTTCCCCTAGCATCCTCCTCTCCTTGTTCTCTTGCTCTTTCTCTGTTCCTTCCTTGACAATTTCTCCTTCTATTTATACTTTCTCTGCCTGACTGACCAACCTATCCTTTCTCCCGCCTTACATTTGGCCATTAAAATCTTCATTAGCCCACCAGGTGTTTTAGACAGGCAAAGCATCACAGCTTCATAGAGTTAACCAGTGCAACTTCAACAAAAGTCACACACCTTAAAATAATATTCTACAACACCCCATTACCTACCTTTTCCTTCTGGGTTTTATTTACCAGGTTTTCACAACTTTGAAACATGACCACATGCTAGGGATCAGTGTCCAAACACAGGATCCTTCCTTGGGTATTACACATCCAAACCCTAATAGAAACCCTTTCCCATTTAATAATCATAGTAGGTGGAATCATTGGAATTATAAAAAGGCTCCGAATGTTGTCCTTCACCAGGTATGGACACTGTGTATTTGCTTTCTCTCGCTGTGAAGAAACATCATGACCAAAAGCAATTTGAGGAAGGAAGGTTTACTTCCCTTTCACTTTCCTATCAGAAGCTACCATGAGAGGAAGTCAGGGCAGGAAGTCAAGACAAGGACCTCGAGGCAGGAACCAAAGCAGATACATGGAGTTAAGCCACTTACTGACTTGCTCTCCTTGACTCTCTAAGCCAGCTTATTTTATATATACAGCCATGACCTCCAGCCCAGGGACATCAGTCACTAATTGAAATTCCCCATACACTTACCTATTAGAAGTTAAGTTCCTTCTTCCTCAGATTACTCCAGCTTGTGTCAAGTTGACAAAAACCATCTGGCACACGCTGACACTCAGAATGAACTCAGAATGACATTCAGAATTCTCTCAGAATGAACCAAATAACAACCAAAATAGTTGAGAATGCAAATGAAAATTCAGAGCAGACCTCGGAGCTAGGGCAACTCCCAAGTAGCTTTTCTGAGTGTGTTTAGATTCCTTTAGCTCTCGTGGCCCCTTTGACAATTTTAGTTCTGTTTTGTGTCTCTGTCTATGTGGACTCTAAACCCTGGTACAGTTGGTGCTGTCCTAGTTCCAGGCCTT